TCAATGTTTGTTGACTTGGAAAGAAGGTATAAATGACTAATAAAGCATATGCTATCCCTCTTCTGGAGGAACCGATCTCTGCTTATGGAATACCTCAGGTCTTCTCTTCACATATGTACATATAAGATATGTATCAAGTATGTTGCAAACTTTAAAGTCCTATATAAATGTCAGTCATTATTATGTTTGGTTATGTTGTAGAGAGGATTCTTATTCAATATGGGTTGGGCTAGATAGTCTTTGAGATTCTTTCAATTCTGATGTCCTGTGAGTCTGCCTAGCAGGTCAACCTTGCATATGCACTGGGAAATGCTCACTCTAAAGGTGAAGGTGTTAGTGTTCTCTCTACTTTCATGACAACCTAGAGCACTAGGAATGGGTGAAAAAGTGAAGATTCCTATAGCCTCGGCTTACAGCCTGATCAATCAGAACTTAACTGAACAAAGATGTAAATTATATAACTGTGTCCGCTAAGGACTCATTATTAAGTTTTATTTGTCTGATTGTCTCTATCTCCACTACCTTTGAACCTGTCACCAAGGATGTCTTTATTTGGCCTTATAAATAGCAATGTCAGTGGAGAAATTACCAGTTCCACCATTCTAGGATTAGTCTCTGTTCTACTTCTGAGGGCTCAGGGCTATTTTGAGTCTCAGTATCTTGATCAAGAGCCTGAGTCAAGCCAAGAAACCACAGTTTAGACAGCAACATAGAGCAAAAGGCTTTATGCACTCCCTGCACACAGGTAAATTTTACTTTTGAATAGTAATTCAACCTCCTGATGTCACAATCAGTTCACTGGAGCATCCCTGTCTGATGCTAGAATTATGCCAAACTGCCCAAATTTGGATTTCATTTTTATGTAAAATTTTATGATATAGATAAAATGTCTGGAAAGAAAATAACTGTAAGAAAAATAACAACATAACCTAATCTACTTTGTCAATTTTCAAATCCAAATTCTGGTGACTATTTTGCGACGGCTGACATTGTTTCTTTGATGAGTTCTTAAATTAAACACCATCTATAAAATGAAAGGGTTGGATTAGATTATCCCAAAGCTTTTCATAGCTTACAGTTTCCATATCTAATTATATAGATGCAAGAAGGGAGTGTATGTATGCATGTGAATGGTGGTGAGGGAGACGGAAGGAGATGAGAAAGGGGAAAAAGGGAACTGCAGAGATCTAGGTTTAATGTAAGGAACTATTTCCTTCTAATTAATGCTATCCAAAAGTGGAATGGGTTAGAGTGTAAATTCCTCCTTATGAGAGGTATTAAAAAACAGTCTGAATGATCACCAGTTAGGTATTGTAATCTCTACTGTGAGCCCTGAACTTGGAGTCAGTAAGACCTGGGTTCATATACATCCTCAAACTGTGTGATCCTGGATAAATTGTTTAAATTCTCTCAACCTTTTTTAGTTTAGTTTTCTTAATTTGTAAAATGATAAAAATAATAGCTAGCATTTATATAGTGCTTTAAGGTTTATAGAATACTTTACAAATATTACTTCATTTGGTCCTCACAGCAACTCCTGGGATAGAGCTGCTATTGTTATTCCGATTTTACAGATGAGAAAACTGAGGCAGACAGAGATTACATGATTTGCCCAGGGTCACACCTCTAAGTAAGTATTTCAAGGGGTATTTTAACTTAGGTCTTCCTGACTCTAGTTCTCATGGTATTATTACATGACCTAGCTGCCTCTAATAACAGCCGTGTCCCTTACCTCACAGTATTATTGTGAGGATCAAGTGAGTTTGAAATGTTTTGTAAATCTTAAGGTCCTATATAAACAATCAGCTTTCTGTTTTTGTCAAGAATGGTGCAGGGGAGATTCTAGTTCAGGGATGAGTTGGACTAGATGGCTTCTGGAGTCTCACCCTACTCTGAGAACCTGTGATCCTGTAAATGGGCAGAAGAAAAAGGATGGTTTTATTGCATACCTGATCAGAGGAAGGGGGTTACATTAGATTTAATTAGATTGTTATTGATGATACCACCATCTTTCCACACACCCAAGTTCAAAACCGTAGAGTCATCCCTCTTCTTTATTTCTCATGTTCCACTGGTGGCTAACTCATGTCCGTTCTACCTTAAACCTCTTTTGTTTTGGTCTCATTTTCCCCATTCACATGGACTCCTCTAGTTCAGGCTCTTAACACCTTTCACTTGAATTATTGCAGTAGTTCTCCTTGCCTCTAAAGTCTATCTCTACTATCTTCCATCCATCCTTCATGCAGCTACCATAATAATCTTTCTTAATCACTGAATAAGTGTTGCCTAAGACAAACTGAGACCTGGGAAAGACCTTAGCTTACAAAGGCCAAGGTCTCCCACTTCATTCAGGGCCATCTCCAGTCATCCTCATTTATATCTTGCCACTGGACCCAGATGGCTCTGGAGAGAGAGGCTGGGAACTTTGTACAGTCCTGCCTCACTTAAATCCAATTCACGTGCAAGTCAGGACATAACTTTCCTAATGTCATTGGTCCTCTTTGAGAACAAAGGACAAACTACATCAACAATAAACAGTAGTCTTCCTAAGGAACAGGCTTGCCCTGTCACTCTCTTTAAAATCTTTTCAGTGCTTTACATGTCTGTAGGATAAGATGCAAATACAAACTCTTCTGCTTGGAGTTTAAAGCCTTCTATAATCTGGCTCCACTCTACCTTTCCAGTCTTATTTTATAATACTTCCCTTCAAACATTACATTCCAGCCAAACTGGATTATTAGATGTTCACAGAACTGGAGAGTCACCATCTACTGCTTCCACATTCTCCGCCCCTCTTCACCCTGAAGTGATTGAGATGCAATTCTTCCTCTTCTCAGCAGTTCATTTTGGATTCCTTATGTGGATTCAATACTCAAGTTAGAAAGTCACCTACTCCCTGTTGCCTTCCCTGATCTCTTCAAATATCTCCTCCAAAACTTCACTGCTATCACTCCTTGCCTTGAATTGTACTTAACGATGTACCTGTTGAAAACCCCTTCAGTAAGCTCCTCAAGGCAAAGGACTATGACATTTTTATCTTCGTATTCTGAGTGCCTAGAACAATACTTTTTATGTAGTATGGGAGTGATATATGTTTGTTGAAATTGGTCTCTTTTATCCCTTCTACTTAGTCAACTTCTATGAATCTCTTTTGAATCAATATTCCTAATTCCTTTATTATCACTTGCTCCTTGGCAGCCAGGAGGAACTGTATACTTGTCAGTTTTGAAACTTGTGCACTACACATTCTGGGTCACATTTAGTTATAAAGTAAACAACCAGAGAGGGTGAAAAGGGCATTTAATGAGCCCAATTGACATACCTGGGAAAAGTAAATAGTAAAAATATAGTTTCAAAGTTTATGTCCAGGAACTCTTATTGGAGGGAGGGAAAGCCTGGTTGAGAAGTTTAGCAAGGGAATAGGAGTCAGAAACATTGAGGTCCATTCTTGTCTCTACCACTGATTTGGTGTCTGACCTTATGTGAATATTAATCTGTTATTTTCCCAGCCAGCAAAATATGCAATAATACTCCCTTGTAAAACACTTTAAGATTTAAGAAGAAGGGGGTATTATTGAAATGTAAACCAGGGTTATAAACCATGCATTCATTATTTTAAATACATATGACTAATTCCTTCACTGGCATTATACAATGAAGATTATAGCCATACTTCATTGGGATACATGTAAATCAACAATCCAGTAATTTCAAAGTAAACACATTTGCTGAAGAAACAATACAAATAATATTCAACAAACTTTCATTCCAGTTTGTTCAACTCAAATGTCAGTGTGTACTTTTTTTTTTAATAACAATAATGTTGCAGAATTTACCAAAGGTGTGCTTGGCACTTAAAAAAAAATTTTTTTTTTAAAGGAAGGAAGACAAGGAAAAGAACCACACACATCAGAACTCAAGACAGCACAATGCTTTTGAGTGCTTTATAAAAGTGAAGAATTGGGATTTCTTCGATGTATTTTCTTCTTTCTTTCAGGATCCCTGGCAAAATTGTGCCGAGCATGCACTTCAAAGACGCTTGATTCTTTTCAGGGTTAGTCAAGTTTTGCTCACAGAAACTGAACAGAGAAATCTGACCGAGGACAGGTACGTTTACCAAGTGGAGTTAGTAACCGTAGACATGGAAGGGAGCCGTCGAACCAAGACTGCTGCAAACTTTTGACGAGTAATGAACAAATCTGAGGTGGGTAAGAAATAGAACAAAATCTACACCTACCTCGTAGGAGGATTTTCCTTTTTTAAATAAGCAATTTTGCCAAGCTGGGTTGCCGAAGACTTTTGAATCTTACCTCCCTTGAAAGTCTGAAGCAAAGAATGCTTCTCTCTCTCTCTCTCTCTCTCTCTCTCTCTCTCTCTCTCTCTCTCTCTCTCTCTCTCTCTCTAAGAAATTCATTAACATCAACACACCAGACACCCCCACAGGAACCTTTCAGCTCTATTAGTCTGCATTTTAGAACAGGTAGAGACCTATTTTTGTTCCTTTTTTTCCCTTCAGAATGCACCTAGCGAGACTAATACTAATTAGCAAAAGACTTTAGAGAAGAGGAAGAGGAGGAGAAGCTAGAGGAAGCCTTGGGAAACTAGTAAGTAACCTGTCTTTAGTACCAAGGAAACTGGGCGAGTAAGAGTGCCCTGCAAGTTTTCCCAAGCGACTGATTATTTGTCTTAACTTTGCTTCGGATTGTCCCTGGGAGCTTCGGAGAGAAGGGAGAAGAGGCAGAGAATGTCCCAAGATCCTGGACTGGACTGGAGGTGTAAGGTAGGGAAGAAGAGGGAATTCTTGGTCTGGGAAAGAGCCCGCTCGGGGCGAGGGAGGCGGAGTAGGTAATTAGGGGGCGGGAAAGGCGGGAGGCTCAGAAGCCACCAGAGAAAGGGGAAGTGTGGAGTGGGGTGGGGAAAAGCAGCCTGAGCAAATGTGAGGCTGGACTGCCTGTGGCTTGTCTTTTAACCTGTGCAGCTGGGGAGGAGGAGAAGGAAGGGAAAGGGGAAAGAGGTATAAGGGGGCTGGCAAAGATTGAGATGGGTGGGGGGAATTTGTAGGAGGTGGTAAATGACATCACAGCAGCCCAAGTGAATAAGGTGGGGAGAGAGAGGAGGCAGCAGGAACAGAGTGGACTGGGTCTGAGAGTTTGGCAATTAAGAGTCATCACTGCAGTCTGCTCCTGCAGGGCACCCTGGCAGCCCCCGAGGGACCATGCAGAGATCACCCCTGGAAAAGGCAAATGTCCTGTCGAAACTTTTCTTCAGGTAAATGTTTTGCTAGTCATTCGTGGTAATGACATGTACCTGAGGGAAGAGGGGAGTGTGTAGGTGTGTACGTGGGGTTTAAGTCTAAAGGCATTGTGTTTTTTTGTTTGTTTATTGTGAAGTATAACCTCTGAGTGTTTCTCTAGGAAAGATTCATTTTTTTTAAAGCTAGAGACAGCTGATATGAGAAAGGAGATTTTTAAAAAAGAAGGTGAAAGCAGGCTAGCAGAAATGTATATGTAATGAGGACAGTTAGGTGAGCTCCCCTAATCTCCACCCCAACCCCCATCTGCAAGACCCTGTAAACCTGGAGTTCTTAGCTCTGTGTGTGTGTGTGTGTGTGTGTGTGTGTCTGTCTGTCTGTCTGTCTGTGTCTCAGGGATCCATTTTATAGTCTGTTAAAGCTTACGACTGCCTCTCAGAATAAGGTTTTTGAATAATTTAAGGAAATGCTATTCTTATATATGTTAGTGAAATTAAAGACGTAATTTTTTTCCCATCCAAGTTCATAGATCTCCTGAAATCTTTCCATGGACCTCAGGTTAAGAACCTTTGCTGTAACTGTATTAATTATAGCAGTATCTATTAGAAGCTAATATTCAAAGATGCTAGTCAAACACTATGACTTACCCTGTGGTTAGTGTCTTTGATTTTTCCGAAGGAAATTATTATCAAGTGGTATATTATTACCAATATTATTACCAAGTGGTTAACAGCTAATGATTAAGATATTAATGAAGAATTCTCCCTTTTCATATTTAGAAATTTCAAAAACTCACACATTTATTTTGTTGCAAATGCAACCAAATCACTGTACTACCATTTGAGGAAAAATATTTAATTAAACAAAATATTTTTTGATGGAGATGATAATGAGGAAAACTTTTATGACAGAGTAAATTCTGTTTGCCTGAAAAGTATATTTGTTTTTTGAATAATGAAAGAAAATGATTCCAGTTTTTAACTTGGGAAAAGCTTAGCTCTACTACTCATGAATTGAAGAGTTCATTGTTTCCATGGATACAGGAATGGGCAGAGTTATATACTCTATTGTAGATATATACAATTAATAGTTAACAAATTATTCTTTTATTTCTGTGTATGAAATAAGCTAGGAAGTATCAGTAAGTATTTTTAATGCTAAGTTTTAGTTTTATAGCCCTAGAGTCTATTAAATAGCTCTATTTCAGATGAAAAGTACTCCTGGGATGGATGTTCAGTTGCTCTCTTTCATTTTCACTTTTTCCTCAATAAAATAATAAATACAACTCTTTTGATGGGATTCATCTCACCCAATTTTCCAATACCTTTGATTCAAGCACTAACAAAATTTGGCAACAAAAAGCAAATCAGTTATGAATGCATATCTATATATAGTATTTAGTATGTATCTGTGTATATGTGTGTATATGCATTTTTGGAGGGAGGAATGTTTATTCTCATATCCAAGTTGTATCACCCTTCCTAATATTTAATTTTCTTTGTATGTCAGGGGAATTTTAAATGAGGGCAAAACACTGAAGGAGAGCTCCCCCCCGTGGAGTGAGAGCAGGTTTTTACTTTTTAGAATCACCTTTTTCTGTTATTTAGGTGAAGGTAAATATTATGAAGAAAATATTATCAAATGATCAGGACAGTAGCCTAGAAGTCTTTTTATTGCTGTCTCATTGCTGACTTCCTACCTAGGCTTTATTGCTTTGATTTGTATTTGATTTATTTGTCTATTTCTATCATTCTTCCTTCCTCTCCTCCATATCATAAGATTATAGTACTGAAGCTCTAAGGTAAGATAGAAGCCATCTAGCACAGTGTCTGGTACATAGTAAGTACTTAATAATGCTTTTTTTGAGATGTCTACCTAGTCTAGTATCTTCATTTTACAGACAGAGAAATTAAAGGCTAGAGAAAGTAAATAACTCGTCCAAAATCACACAGGTAGTAGGTAATAATAGAGGTGAAATTTGAACCTAAGTACTCTGAGCCCAAGTCGCTTTTCACTGTCTCATGCTGTTCCCCAAAGTTCTGGTTGGACAGATGGTAGTGCCACATCCAATTTCCTTAGCTCCTCATCTTGTACATAATGAGTTCTTAAAAGAAAAAATTCCTAATAGCAAAACATTTATTAACGGAAAACAAGTCAATAATAATCATAGCATAACATACCAGTCTACTTATAAACCAGAGTCACACTCTTCCACTAATACATGCAGTTTCTGCATGGGAGAGTAGACAACCATAATAATGTGACAAGGAGGCACATGGGTAGGGAAACCCATGTGCCTGAGACAACTCACAACTCTGGACTTTTATGTCCTCCATCTCTTTTGGGAATAGTCATAAATGATCGGAGCCCAGATGGAAGAATAAAAACAGTGACTTTCTGGAGCTCTCCCCCAAACCCCTCCAAATACCTGTAAAAAATGGCTCTAAACAAATTCTAAAGTGGAATGGTCATAATTGGTTCTTAATAATTGTTGACTTAAACTGTTCATAATCTATTACAATGCTTAAGGTATTAAGATTACAGATTTAAAACCTTAAAGACCTAAGAGAACATCTAGTCGCTGTCTTTCTTCATTTTTCACAAGGGTTCTGCTTGTATTCCTGTGACATAAAATACTATATTGGGGTGATGAGCTGGTATGTAGACTCACTTTGAAATACCTAAATGCTAGGCACTTGAAAGGTGCGATTTTAATTTACCTTAAATTTCCCCACTTGGAAAAGTTGTACATTACATCACCTACTAGCGTAATAATAAAACAGTAATCATATTACTGGGCAGCTAGGTGGCGCAGTGGATACAGCGTGGGGCCTGAAGTCAGGAAGACTCATCTTCATGGGTTCAAATTTGGCCTCAAATACTTAGTAGTTGTGTGACCCTGGGCAAATCACTTAACTCTGTTTGCCTTAGTTTCCTTCTCTGTAAAATGAGCTGAAGAAGAAATGGCAAACCACTCCAGTATCTCTGCCAAGAAAACCCCAAAGGGGGTCACAGAGTCAGAGAGGACTCAACAACAACCATCATGTTACTAGTTCTAAAATTGAATGTAGTTTTTCTTAAGCCAAACCCTCTTAGCCTTGGGTGGGAAGAAAATCTTTAAAAGTATTAGTGTGTTTCTTAACACTATACCCACTATTTTTCTCCAAACTATTTCATGACAAAGTTATCTAAAATCATTGCATAAACAATCTTGGCTACCTTCTGAGGACTAGTAAGAACTGGAATCTTTAGAGGTTTAAACCATAAAGAAACTGTGATTTTTACATGCCCCTATTATATCGTAAAGTCCTAGGTAATAAGTGACAACTGTATTCTGTAGAGTACCTAGCCCCAGGAACTGTAACACATAGTAGGTGCTACATTTTTGAATGAATGAAAAGAATGAACTCATATGATAATTTTAAAAAGTATATTACTTATCAAATAGAGCTCTGCCAAATGTATGGTAAAGGGATTCTTTTTGTCTTCATCATGTATATTGAATGTCTTAGCAGCTACCCCATAGAATATGAACCCTGATGCCTGAGTCATAAAAGAAAAGCATTTGTTACTCATGATTCATATGAAAAATGTCTTCGGTAGGTTTTGTTATTTTTAAAATAATTGTTTTTGAAAGTTTAAGCATTTTATTAATTTTGCACCATCTTTATAGTACAAAAGAATAACATTTATGTTTCATCTATCTACAACTTGTTTAATTTTTTCTCATAAAAATAATCCAAAAGAAAATTTCTCACACACACACACACACACACACACACACACACACACACACCCAGAAAGGTACAGTTATTTACAAATTGTAAGGGGAAATTATGTAGTTTTAGATTTGGTCTTCAGCAATTTTTTTTAAGACCCACCTATAAAATGATAAGAAGAATTAACAGCTGACATTTATATAACACTTTAAAGTTTATAAAGCATTTTACATAATTCATGTAATCCTTACAACCACCCTGTGAAATAGGTCCTGAAGGTATTATGATCCCCATATTGCAGATAAGGAAACAGAGCATCTGAGAGGTTAGGTGATTTGCTAGTGGTCATATACCTTTAAGTGGTAAAAGTGGGACAGGAAACCTAGGCATTTGACTTCAAATGCAGGGTACACTTTCTACTATGCCACTGTGACTTCTATAATGTTTGAAATCAGAGAATCCCAAGTGATGTATTTGCATGGAGTTTACTTAGGATCCAAGTAGGAGTGGTTTGTGGTTGGCTTATCAGCATTGCCTGTATTTTTGATTCTTAGGAAGTTTTCCAATTTACACTTTGGTTATAGCCCTTAAGGCTGTTAAAACCTTACCTTTTCTATCTGTATCACATGCTATCATTTATCTACACCCCTTATACTAGGACGGTGTGTCTGAGCGACATCTTAGTCCACCTCGGACTGTAGAATCCTAACGGTGGTTTTAGGTGTTCATGGGACCTGGGTGACAAGGGCTACCTGAAGATGCTGAAGCTACTCTAGAATCTGAAACTGGAAGGAACCTCAGAAATTATCCTCATTTTATAGACAAAGAAACTTTGCCCAGAGAGGTTAATAAGATTAAATAAGTTGTCCAAGATCATATAAGTAAGGATGGAACAGAGCCAGAATTTGAACCCAGGTCCTTTTACTCTGGATCCAATGTTTTTAACACTATACCACAGCTTCTCTAAACAAATGCAATGGTATAATATTTTCCCAAAAATTAACTTTAGGTAGAAATCCAGTAAAGCACTGTAATAGTTGATATGCTCCTGAGCAACAATTAAGATCCCTAAGATAATTTTTTATAAAGTAATGCATGAAATATGACTAAAAGGCACAAAACTGATTTTTAAAATCACAAATATATCAGATATATATCTGAGTGAATGTCATTTTTCCAAATAACTATGTTGGGAGGCTAAGGTTTTAATGATGACTACATCGCTCATAACAAAGTTAGAATCCTATTCTGGAACTGTCTCCGAGAAACATGAGAAATCATTCTCACCTAGTTTTTGG